AAAGTTAACTCTCAGTTATTTTCATACTGTTCGCAAGACAATTCGTTCGATAATTATTTCACAATCACACACAGTTCATTATCACTCTGTCAGATATTATTTCACCGGAAAATTCGCTGTAGCATTCTATCCACATACGAGCACAGGTTCAGGAGTTGAGAAAAACAAGTTGTGAAAATTGATCTATACACATGTATTTATTTGAATTTTCTGACATGTGGACAACAATACTCAGTAAGTGTTGAGTTCAATTTACACATCAGGTGATAAAAGATACAGAACTGAACAGTTTGCGTGGAAACACCATCAAAGTCATGCAACATATTGGTTCTTGCTTCTAAAAGTCTTTTTCAGTTGGCACTTTGTTTTTACGTAGATTTTCCAAAACGTAAGGGTCGGGCTTACGGGTTAACACTGTCAGCACATGAGTCCTTCATGTTGAATTGATTCTACCTCGATGATGTCTAATTTTGGTTGAAACCGAAAACAGATATGATAGCATTTTCACAGATTTCCCGTTTCACCAGTTTTCATCCATGCCACAATATACTTTCTTGTGCTTTTGAGATGTGTTCTTTATGACTTATCCTTCCTTCGAAAAATTCTGCTAAGCCTATATTGTCTTCTTGTTGTAATTGTTCAAATTTGACTACATACAACTGACTTAATATTGGTTTTCTCATAGTCAAGGTGAATGTTCTACTTGCTCCCTATGAGTAGACCTGAATTCCTTACAATAGGCGAGAGTTGCACAAGGACTGTAAAGCGTAAGCAGTCTGTTCGGAATGTCAGAGGGTTAGAAGCAAAGGTATTGAGTCAAGCTCAACCCTATGCTCCCACTGTTTCATGTCAGCCGGCTACAATTTTATAGGTTTAGACAATGTTTCATGATAATGTGATACTACGAACTGCTGATTCTGCTCCTCACTTCAGTAACGGCTGGAAAAACCGTTTGCATTTCACCATATCGGTTACAAACTTGGTTATTTTACAAATCAGAATAAAGTGATTGATGATTTGACTAACACAATGTAACACAAGTATTGAAAGAGATATAATCCCGAACTTTCGCTACAAATAACAAAACCACTCAAAATCTTTAAAATAACAAATTATTCGAAGGACATTCGGATGAACATTGAATATTCTTCTCGATAACCTCCACATTCATGTCAGAATATTTAATGGTCATATAGTGTAATTTCGTATAAACATAATGTCAGCATCCAGTATTGCTGAAATTCAGTTGAAAATAGTTGATTATCTTAGTGGCTTTACCGATTATTCAACACTTTAAGGTGAAAATGAACCATGTTAACTTCGATGGTGAAAGTTATAGAAGTGAAGCATATCACGAGTAGAAGCGGAAATGAAATTTAGTGGAGAGTGGTTGAATAAGTGGATCAAGAAATATAGTCTAGTGAAACAATAGGAGGGTGTGCAGGAAATCCAGGTAGAATAAACGAAGACACACAAATGGAGGAATACTTACTAGTTTGGTAAAATGTTTCTCATGGCAGGGACTTTTAAGCTGTTATTGTTGTTCAGAATGGCAACGGAAGCTCTGGAGAGAGCGGTGGTCGTACTACTATTGCGTAACGTTTGACCAACCCCACTTAACTTGATGTGCCATAGTACCTGCTTAACCACTACCTTACCTAACGTGTAAGTGATGATAACGAAACGCAAACCAAAAGAACTGGTTTCAGGAATATATTCAAAGAAGCAATATATTCAATTAGAATAAATGCAATAGTAGTGAAGTTATCTGGCTAGTATGGCTGAAGTGGGGATTCTGAGTATGTGCGTGCTAACCGGCACAAAGTAGGCGCGAAATGGCTTCGAAGCCTGCTCGGATGCATGCTGGTTAAAATCAAACTTAGAACACCTTAAGAATCCGGAGGCGAGCTAGAGGTTTATTTAGTTAATTTAATTTAATCTATTTATTTTAGTCCTAGTTGTATTTTGGTGCCAGGAAGGTGCACCATAGCTCCACGATTTAGCGATTCAGTTAAGAGAACTCAATCTCATTGAGAGTATTCTCCTGAGCTGCTGATATTCTCCGTCATCCCAACGTTAGTAACCGCTATATGGCTGAAGTTTTCTCTCCGCGTGAACCCAATAATATTGATCTCATGTTTGTTTTGACCAGTGGAACAGACAAAGGGTTTGTTAAGGATATTATGTCTCAGCTGTGCATGTATCTGACTGCATGTTTGACTTTGGTGTGCGTCAATATCAGGAATATTTACTGGCTTGTGGATTCATTGTAAGAAAAACAATTAGTGTATGTTGGATGGCACTGTGTTCTGGAGAAGCATTAAGATTTGGGACATTGAAGAGTGTGTTTTGAGGTGAATAGCGATAGAACATCTTGCGAACGGTCAGTGATCGTTCAGACGTTTGACGTGCTAATGGTTCAGATTGCATGCTGCTAATCATTGTTGGCACTGATGCTGAAGGGAACATGGTTGCATGGTTTCGTTCACTTGAGTAATCTCATCAAATAATGAGGTCATCTAGAGAACTAGCAGCAGAATATGTGAGACGAAAACTTATCCATAGAATGCGAATACGCATCAAATGTATTGGTGATAGGAAGCAGTACATATAAAAACAAGGATATCAACACAGCGAAATGGAATTCACCAGACACCAGGACACAATAAACATCAGATCGACTTCATCTCAATCTCAAGAAAATGGAGACGCAGCCTACTGGACACAAGATCAGATCAGATCAGATCGAGAGCGGGAGCGGGAGCAGATGTAGGTTCACACCACTCACTAACTAGGGCAAGAAACCTTACTTCAAATCAAGGTGAAAGTCTTCACAGAAGTTGGTGATAGACAACCACAGTTCAAGTTCAACACTCAGACCAAAAACTGAACTGAAGGACGAAACTACAAAGGACATCTTCACGTCAGCCAGACATCAGAACAAAATGGGAGACATTGAGCAACATCCCTGAAGAAACCTGTGTGGAAGAACACTGGAAGTCTTTGAAAGCTATGTGGAGAGCGACCTGCACAACCGTGTTGGAAGGAAGAAGAAGAGGCAAGACAAGGAATGCATCTCGACGGACACATGGGAGCTGATAGAACAGGGAGAGTAAGATGGTGACGGTGATGGTGACGGTGACGGTGATGGTGGTGGTGATGGTGAAGGTGAAGCAGAAGATGAAACAGTGAAATGCAGTGCAAAGATGCACAAAGAGAAGAGGAACTGAATACAATCTACAAAACACTACACTGGACAAAGAAGTGAAGAAGAGTGCGCACACAGACGAAAGACACTTCTACGACACACTGGCAAGTGAAGCAGAACAGGCTGCCGGCTGGTAGCAGCGACGAGACAACACTATATCAAATGACCAGGTTGCTATCTGGGAAGAGATCAATTCAGATGAAACTGGTGAGTGATAGTGAAGGGAACGTGGTTACCAAAGGGAAGGAAGAGAAGAAATTGTGATCTGACCACTTCAAAGAACTCTTGAGTCGAACAATACCACCACCACCGCATCATCATAGAACAGAGAGTAGAATGGCAGTCAACTCAACCCAACCCAATTCAACTCAACTCTACCTCAACTTTATCGACTTTGAAAAAGCCTTCGACAGCGTTGACCAAGAAGTAATTTGGCAGGCAGCTGCTTCAACACTACGGTTTTAGTGCCACAAACCTCATTCAACAGCTGCTATATGCTATATGATCAGGCCACATGCCGAGTGATTCACAATGGAAAGGTCTGTGATGCCTTTGAAGTGAAGTGAAGTGAAGTGAAGACAGGAGTAAGACAAGGCTGCCGTCTACTATCACCGATGCTCTTCCTGATTGTGGTCGACTGTACTGGACTGGACTGGATCATGCAACAGACAACTGTGAGGAGCGAGAAGATGGGCATACGCTGTTTTACCGATGAAAAGACAATAGAAGAAGATTTGGACTTCGCTGCCGATCATGATTTCTGTCCAATGTCTTGTGGCACAAACTCGAAGATCTACAGACGAAAGCTAACAAGTTGGCAGAAGAAGCAGCAGTGAAGGTTGGACTTCAAGTGAATGTGGAGAAGACAGAAGTGATGAAGATACCCAACCAACCAACCAACCAACAACAAGTACCAATCACCATCAATGGGAGAAACCTAAAGGAAGGAGTCTCGTTCACCTACCCACCTACCTAGGCAGCATCGTTTCGACTACAAGCGGTGGCACAGATGAGGATGTCAAAGCAGCCAGGATCGGAAAGACAGAAAGACAGGCCTTCATTAACCTGAAATCGGTGTGGAGATATACTGCTCTGCATTCAGCGTAAAGCGTGAACAAGATCGGGATATTCAACACTAATGTAAAGTCAGTGCTTCTGTGTGATGCTTCGGAAACTTGGTGCGTCACGAAAAGCACTTCCAACAAACTACAGATATTCATGAACAGCTTCCGCCTACGCTCACTCCATACTGAAGGTCAGATCACATGGCCAGAATGATAAGAATAAGCAAGAAGTTACTGTGGCCTGGGAACGAACTAACTGAGAACCCGTCGTCCAACGAATGTGCTGTAGAAAGTGGAGATGGATTGGATTTGCCTGGATCGCACACACACTGAGAAGACCGATTTGGGTACATCAACTGTCAAGCCCTTGAGTGGAACCCGAATGGGAAACGATGAGTTGGGCGTCGGAGGCAAGGGTGACATGTAGCAGATCATGTGCTATAATATTTTTCTTATTTATACACACAAGAATATGGACGCAGTCGGTCGCTTTAATATAAGATAGGCATGTAGTAGTAAATGCTTATTGCTCATCTGAATATGAATGTACTAGTGCAACGCGGTGACAAATATTACTCAAAGTTTAAATTTAAACACCTACGTAATATTTGGTACACATAAACAATTACAGATTATTTAAAAACGTTTAAAGCAGTGCCATGAAACAGTCCAGAAGAGAGACAGACAGCATTTCACACAAAAAAATACATCACAATAAAAACACAAGATAAAAACAAAAGAGCTTTATTTGAGTTGACAAACGTCAAAATTCAAGAAACAAATCAAACAAAGAAACTGTAATTAGAATACGTGAAAAACTTCGGTCTTCCACTCATGAATGTTTTGCATTTGAAGCTTTGTTTTTACGAAGATTTTCGAGGACATAATCATCGATTTTTGATGACAACACTGTCATAACCTTGGCTTTTGCATCTTTGAACTCAGGTGATGCCTTGATTTTGGCCAATTCAGCGTCGTCTTGTCCACCCGAAAACGAATCGATGATCGAGTTTTGCAAATACAATCAGGAAATAAACAAATGTGTCAGTAAAACTTGTCTTCTCAAGAATAAGCAACGGACATCAACGTGACTACAAGAATCTGTTACAAAGAAGACTGTTTGCAACAAACAAATATTGTGGTCACCTCACCGACTTCATCAGTGTTCAACGTGTGTTTGAACCTTTGTGAGAGCCAACGATTTTCACTTCACTGACCACTATCGAGTCCTGCCACTGAATAACACTAGATGTCTCTTCCATATGCACCCAACGAATGAGAAGGTGTTCATCACCAATCTAAATCAATCCCATCTTCAAATTTAGTGACATCTCCACACACAATGTCATGAGGGAAAATACACATGGATGATTACTAGTCAGTCTCATTTCGTACCTCTTCAAATCTCCAACGAAAATCGGACAAGACGACAAATGAAGACAAGTGGACTTCGATCCACACGTCAGAGCGGTAGAATGACTGTATGACTGTATGCATGTATGTGTGTGTTTGTGTGTACGCGTTCGAGCTTACACATAGCAGCTCGCAATCATCATTTCAATCAGGTCAGAAGAGCGAGCACTGACAATGCGGAAAGTTCATAAGGTGACTGACAAAGTGCAACCAACTACGACACAACATCGTCAGTGCATTCAACATCCTCACCAACATCAGAAATAGTCTACTAACTGTCCACTCTGGAATATGAGACACAAAATCATAATCCCACATACAACCGTGAAATTACATGGCCAATGAAGTGCAAAAAACACAATATGACATCAACCTACATCCCACTGTGAACGCACTACAACATGAATATTTGCTTACTTGGAGTATTTTCTGAGCACACCACACTCATGATGACGAAGAAACACACGACAAGATATTCAACCTGAAAAGAAATGCAGAGGAAATAACGACTCGTTTCTGTCTTATGAGAAGTGAGACAACTGCAAACAACTAGTTCATGGCTTTCACAGGCACCATATTTCAATGCCCGTGGATGAGCTTCATGATGTGATATCGACTACACTACATGATGGTGACAGTTGTCCCTTGCAGCCACGTGTTCAGCAGCTTCAACCAATTGATGCTGGTAGATTCTTGAGATCCTGGTGGATCGGTTGTTGCGGCCACCGATTGGGTGATCGATGGATTGTACATTGTGTTGATTTTTCAAGCCACTCAGTCAGCGTTATTCGAGTAATCAACCGGGGAATGACTGCACAACACTCGTTGAGTTGAAATGATTCCTCCATGTGGTTGCATACATAGTCATCTGTTGTCAACTTACGTGCATTTTGATGTCGACTGTGGACTTGTAACGCCAACTAACAATTGTCCTCCTTATATACTCTAAGGGCTAACACTGTTAGTATACCATTGCACTTTTGCCGTCCAATTGTGTTTCATGTTGAGAATGACTGAATTATTGTCCTCTGTGTAGGCGAATATTGTTATTTCGATATTTGTTTCGAATAGTCGACAAGATCAAAACACGGACAAGCAAATGCTTCAGATTGTTTCCGCACCACTCATGAATGTGTTTGCACATATTTCGATTTCCTTGTGCGTGTATATATATATATATATATATATATATATATATATATATATGCTGATAATGACAACGATTTATGTGACAAAATGTTGACAAAGTAAAGGGATCGATTGAGTTTGGTGTTATTCTGTTTAGTGTAATCCATTGTTCATAGTCACATTGTTCGAGCAGAAATAATGGACATGATTCGGCAAACCATTGAATGACCATAAGCATCAGCTGACGCTACCGAAAATTGTTTCTTTAATATTCTGATTTGCCAAAATATGGATACTCATTTTATACCTCATAAATTTCATGCGTTTGGACTGAATTCTGTTTCCAATATTTTTTTCTTTCTGCTTATATTCATCGGTCGATTTACTCCTTGTTAAGATAACTTTTCGTTTACAATATATTTCAGCCTAAATAGGTGTCTAAACATTAATGAACCACTAGATATCCGACTTTGGTTCCCCCTCAGTCATCACTACTAATCGATTGACAGTTACTTATCCAACATCTAACTAACATGCTTGACATCAAATGTATACGCGTGGCAATATGTCACCCTATTTCTATTGGAATGGTGGAAGGCCTACACAGACAACTTAAAGTAGCACATACTGCTGCTCTGTAGATAATAACTCGCCAACTGAACTAGATTTGGTACTGCTTAGTATTCAAGCCACCTTCAAGAGAGATCGTAGTTTTTTCAGATCAGAAGTAGTCCATTAGATGACATTATGGTTATCCGGAGAATTTTTCAACGCGAATAATGAATTCCCGTTCCATAGGGCTAACTATGGTCAACTACGAACAAAGCACTTGGACAGGTTGGATATACCACTTCCTTGAGCACAGTTTCGTCCATCTCATTTCAGCTGGTTTACAAGTCACACTTTTATCAGAAGGAATGACCTCCAGGGATCTCTGTAACCAGCCCACTATAGTCCGTACAGAATCTTGAGTAGAAGTGATAAAGTCATTACTATCGACAAATTCAGAAAGGTAGATGCTTTTTTCATCGATCGAGTGAAGCATGTTAGCAAAGATATCATATCAGTCCAAACTTTAGCAAGTGAAACTACTGCAGAGAAGCGTGAAAGAGTTACCAGATCAAGTAGAAGAGTTCACTGGCCGATGCGCTACATGTATGTAATCACGATTTGATTATTGCTTCATTCAGGCTGTAATTTCTGTATCATATTGACATAAAGCTCACTTTACACTAATAGACACTAGTAATGCACACTAACTTATTCCTTTACAACCTCTCTCAAATAGTTATCATTTACGGCCTGAGGAACGTAGGTTAGTTCTCACTTCTGAATATTCTTTCATTAGTTTTCATGATTACTAACTATAACAGCTTCCTAACTCAGTAATCAACTTTAAAAGTTACTAACTATCGCATTCTGGTGTATTACTACTGACCATGACCGTTTTGTCATTTCCATCACGAGTATCTATCTTTTATCTTTTCCAAAGAAATAACTGTCTTATTTCATATTTCAGTGTTCAGGTGAGCGAATCAGATTGCCTACTCCATGTAACTGTATTCAGATATTCCACGTATCAGTATTACATTGATATTGAAACAATTTTTTCATAGACACGGAATATCAAGCAACTCAAATAATTACATCCTTTCAAATCTCGCAGCATTCGGCTTTCGACTAATCTGTTGTTATCGTTTGTTTTGATAGTACCTTTTGGTTAGAATAAGACTATTAGAATTTTGGTCGAACAGTGTTGTTAACCACCGGCGCTATTTGTATTCAAGTTGTAATTCATATGAAAATATAACCTTTCCTTATTCATGGGCACAAAAGTAGCGGCTGGACTCCTGAGTAAACATTTTTGGATTTCTATCTCGTAATCTTCGTGGGTTATATAATCTACTAACGAATATATTACAACTTGTGACCACAGAATTATTTATTCCATTAGCAGATCTAGCTGCTGCCGCAATCACTTCCGTTAAAATATTATCGATAAACAACTGTGTGGTGCGAAAGATGAACGGGAATCGACTCTAATCTGGCACTGGTCAGGTAAAATTCTGATCTGATAATCAAAAGTTTATAATTATGATTTCATATTTATATTTTCGCTGATATATCACCTGTGAGTGTCCAGTCACAAGAAAGCAATTCAGTTCGCCATCTAGGAGAACTACAAATATTCTGAAATGCAGAAAGGTTTAGTTCGTTGGTTGACACAAAGATATGTTGATATGACAGGATGAAATAAAAATCCTATTCAATACAACCTCACATTGTGAAGATCAGCTGAGTTGAAAGATTATGACCACTGCTTCTTGACAAACTGAGACATCTTTGCACAGATGTTGATTATACCATCCAACAGGTATCGACTACATAAAAACAACACAAATTGTACTCTGTAATCAACAAACACATATACAGATTTGTCTTCATGGATAGTGTGTGATTAATAGTACATAGCATATGTCGAGTGGCATCTGAGGGCGAACGAAATGCGACAGTTAACGTGAGACAGTGTAGTCATCAGTAATGCTATCAATGATTCACAGTCGAGACGACCTTATTGAGAAAACTGTGCATAACGCAGTCACCATCTGGCGATGAGAACAATCCCATAACTTAGCTATCATTTATTTGCAGTGCCGCTTCGTGAATAAACCTGGATAATTCCAATATCCGCATGTAGTTGTCTCTCAAGCGATTCTTGTTAGTCAACATGTCATGACGGAGTTTTCAGAGATATCGTGATATGTATTTCGTAAGATTCAATGGTAGGCAGATATAGTGAACGGAATGTACAGTTTGTGAATAAACTCATTTCAGGAAAAACTGTCTCTGAAATGTTTGTTATTGTTATCGGAATAGGAATTATTAAATCATGGGCAATGTGCAAGGATGTGATGACGATGATGAAACTCAATGAGTTTCTTTATTTTTCAGCAAATACAAATTAAATGTATATAGAAATGAAGCACTTTTGGATTGCCTCAATGTTTATAAGGGATATTTGCTGACGTTGAACGTCATTGGCTTGTCGATGGAAGTTAACAATCAGTCATTTTTGCAACTCAATCCTGGGAGAGGATAAAAGACCTTGAGAAAGATGGCGAAAAATAGTGGTGTCTCTCAAGATAATTAGACTCTTCACGTCAATCAACCCAGATATATCCAAAGAAACAATGGAAATCCTTCTCATTAGTGACCTGGATCATCAAAACTATGTGAAATTTACTTCTTGAAACTTGGTAGAACTAATTAGCCTATATCTCACAACATACTTCTCCTCCACTGAAACCATCTAAAATCGAACCACATGAACAGCAGCTGGCTCACCATAATTGGGACTGATCGTTGAAGCATTGACTCACAGATAACAATCAATGATCATTGCAGTAAACGAACCGAACATTTGGATTCGTCACTTCATCAACACTCCTGTAGTTATCAAAACAAGTGAATTGCTAAACGCATTCAGTGTTATCGATCAAACGTGTGAATGTGTTCAGATGACAAAAGAAGGAGAGGAAAATGGAGACAACATTCATAGACATGTTTATCAGCAGGACATATGGTGAAACCCCACAGATCCACATGTACAAGGAGTTGACACAATCAGATCATATGTTCAACAACAAAATAAACACCCTGTAGCTCAAAATACGGATTTTGCAAAACCGCTCTAATACGAAGGGGTCAGTCAAATGGAAATAAACCAAACAAATCAAGCACGTGACATTTGACCATAAGGATGGTTAAAGGGATAACAACAATTATATACGGCAAACACAAATGAAAACGGCCGACAGGTAATCCTTACGTACAAGTCAATAACGCTCAACGTCGGAAGAAAATCTTTCATAAACATTCATTAAATTTAAGAATGCTTCATCTCTGTATGAATTGAGTGCTGACGAAGTTGTCTAACCTGGTGATGAAGTGTTCATGAGTACACCAGTAAGCTCGGAGAATACAAAACAGTTATTGTGCTCATCCTGAGCTTCAAATCCTCTCCGCTGTCTCAGTCAACAGAAAATCTTCGAACTTAGAAAACGCTTCTGATGCAACTTGACTGGATAACAACTTGCGGTTGCCACATGCTTGCCAAAGCATTTATTACCTTCTAACCCGGCTATAAAATTAATGAAATGTAACACAGCTGTCTTCTCTTCTTGGTCCACTGATGCTAAATATATCTATCTGTTCTTGAAAGTATATAGAAACTGATAAATCATGCCAACAACACAGAACATATAAATTTATTATTAATGACAGCAACAGCTTCTGCATCAAGGTCATCTACCGCTATCATGAATGGAACACTCTGAATTAGAAATATGATGAAATCAAAGTGTGTCAAATTTCCCTTCATATCACACCTCAACCTGAAATTCCACTCGGCTGACTGAAATGTAACACCGTCACACTAACTTTGGATTCAGCGTTTAGGTCAGAAGCCGTTATGTAGACAAAAACTGGCTTCGCAATATTTGCAAAAGTATATGCGAAGTTTGCTGTTGTTTGCAGAAAAGCAGCTCTATCAACTTTACAGATGCCTACTCACAACAGTGGTACAGAATATCTCATACAACAAGAGACTTAGGTAAGGACGTAGCTATCAATGAATGACCAGTCCTCAGAAAATTACAGTGAATTTTGTATTATTGAAATTGTTTTCCCTTGCGTTCGTAGTGGAACATCAGGCTTCAGTAGCACGCCTCCACTGCACTCTGTTCACTGCAGTCTATTGAACCCCACTCCCCC